ATTTTTTTTAAAAAATAACTGAAATGTATATCACGGTGGTATTGTACAACACAAGCAAAGTTATAAACTAAATATTCCAAAGAATCAATACACTTTTTTAGTTAAACCAACTTCTATCATTACTGATCTGTGTCAAAATCATCATCATAACCAAGTTATTTCCAAAGATTGAGAGCTATTGAACTGTTGCTTGACTTCAAACACTTATTAAATAAGAAAACTCTATATTTTCCTGATCAATGAAGGGAAGAAAAATTAGTGGAAATAATATTTACTTCTGGAACAGGTCAGTAATTTTAACACCAATCTAAACTATCATTACTACCCATCAATCTGCTTATTAAAGAAAAAAATTAAACAAACTGATAGCACTTTTCATATGAACATGATGAATGAGGTGGAAATAAAGCTTGAGTCATAACAATATTCGTGATATCGATTACAGATTCAATATGTTTATTTTGTATAAGAAAAGATGCACAAGTTGAGTTCCTTATTCACACAACAATTGGTTATCTTACATAAACATATTTTAATTGTATGCTTGTTTAAATTTATAAATTGTGGTAGTATATTTTTGCATTTCAACTGTACAATTTCAAGAGCCATAAATTGAAAACATTCAGAAACTTGTTTTGGATTCTACTGATCTCCTTGAGGAAATTTCGTGATTTATCAAATGCTTGATATATACTGTAATGGGGGATGCAGATTATATTACTGGTGACGCAAATAGCATAATAAATTCGACTTTTCTCATGATATCATACATGAATAATGAGTTAATTAAAGAAATGCTCTAAATCATAGCGAGTAATATGATTACACTAGAAAAAGATAAAAATAAAATGAATTTATTCAAAGTTATGCAATATGTGTGAAAGAAGCTCTAAATTAAATTCACTTGGTATTTTTGCTTGAATATTCCCATTGATGTTCAGGTCAATAATTAATCAGTCTCTTATTGGTATATGTGTATCCTGTACGTATTGCCTCGACATTACCTTAAGTCACAAGCGCTATAAATCAAGACGGATGGTGGCTAGCAGTGGAATCCAGGACGCGCGTTTCGTCCTATTTGGGACTCGTCAGCCAGATATACCTGCATCCCAGAGTTGAAGTTCATTCTGGGACTCGAACCAGTGGCGTTCACTTCAAACTCCATCGCGTTATCCACTTAGCTATTGACTTTTGGTAGCCACTTGGGGTGAAGTTTAAATTCACTTGGTATTGTTTAGTTGAATCTTTCCACTGATAGCATTTGGGGCGAACGGTACTGGGTTCGAATCCCGGAGTGAACATCAACTCTGGAATGAAGATACATCCAGATGACAAGTCCCAAATAGGACAAAGCGCGCGTCCTGGATTCCACTGCTAGCCACCATCCATTTTTGCTTATAAGCTCTAAATTAATTGAGAACATCCAATATAACACACGTTTTTATTTTAATACACCCCACTTCAATGCAACAATTTAACTCAATCTTATTCATTCTACAGGTGTAAGCTCACCCAAGATAGTAGTGAAACACATATCTATTTAGACAGCGGATATGAAATGAATGTGAATAATTTAGTAAATTAACTAGCTGACAAAAAAAAAAAAAATTTTACTCCGTTTAGCAGTGGCGATCGCTATCAAACTTTTCCAACCTGACCAATTTATACACAATAAAAGTGTGATAATGCATTATCAAAATTCATCAAAGGGACAAACTTTTAAATAAAAGTGTGATTAGCCTTTCACTCCTATGGTGACTGGATGTTCATCAAATAACTTTTACTAACTTTCCTAAATATGCCTGTGTTTTCGTCTTATATTGATCTCTTACATAATTTCATTGATTTTGTCTCTTTTCTTGTTGAATGATTATGCAATCAGTCGTCACTTTCATTAATCTTAACTAACCTCTTTTATCTTAATTATGAATACTGATTACTATGATACATGTTTGATTATGCGTTGTTACTTTCTAACATATAAATACACATCGGTCTTAACCATGTTTATTCATAAACTTTGTAGTCTTATTTTTCTTATTATTACAGTTTTGGTTACGTTTCGAACATTTATCTAAAATTCACAAACTAAAATATGCCAAACATGTTATTATGAATACATTTTTCCTTTATATATTACCACCATTGACTTAACCACTCCTGTGAATCCGGTGTTCATCTTGCGGTGCTAATGCGGTATGGAAACTTGGACCGATGCATATATGTGCATGGTCTTACGTTGTAGCTGACTGACTGAAACATGTTATTAATTACATTAATAACTGTAATTTTATGTTGTCTGCAGATAATGAGAAACCATGGAACAGACTGATGAATTTATTTTGTTCTGCAACCTTAGTTCATTTTGATCTATTTAAACATATTTATTTTCAGTATGTGGATTTGTCGAAATTGTAGTATTTTCACGGTTGAATTCCCAAGTCGGTCTAAGCTAGACCATCACTGAAAGCCTGAAAACACTAAACGGCCGTTTCATCCAGGTATAGGACTCCTTAGCGTTGCGCATCCACGATCCCGCACGTGGGACTCCAACCCAGGAGCTTCGGTCTCGCACACGAACGCTTAACCTTTAGACCACTGACATTAATTGATCCATGAACTTGCACAAATCTTCATCTATTGTTTGAGATGGATAACTGTCTCAAACCCATCATTGAATGGACTCCACTAGTCACAACTTCCACCAGAACTTCAAGAGTTCCATCTTGAAGATGGTCACTAGTGAGTACATGATTATTATCAGTATGGAGATTTGTGGAGATTGTAGTATCTCCACAGTTGTTAATAAAGTTACCAGATACTTCTACTACTTCATTAGATATTGTCTATGGTTGATACAATAAATTTTATGTTCATTCAAGTTTACATCAGTAAACTAGATAATACAGATAAACAAAAAAAACGCACTTACTTGCCACCATTCAGGATCAACTGTATTAATAACGTGAACCAAATCACCTGATTTTAGAGTGAATACCTTTTTAGGTATAGTTTGGTGATGATTCTCTTTCAATGGATCGTAATCAACTTGAGAGCGTAATAACAATACATCAGGATATTTATTCAATTCTTCAGCTTCATTTTCTTTATGTCTTCCCTCTTCGCCAAGTGCTTCATTCGTCAGTTGACGCTTTTGCTTCTGTTGACGATGTTGTTGTCGTTTTTTATCAATATGTTCAATGTTTTTTTGTTGCAGTTTATCTTTACTCATTTCAGATTGCTTTTTATCTTGACAACTGGTAATTGGTGATTCTTTGTCTTTACTGTCTGTCCCTGTTCCATTGGCAGTTTTAGCTTTCAGTGAATGTAAACATTTATAAGATAATTTATGACCAACTGCTTTAAGCTGACGACTGAAATGTTGCTCAAAACTGGCATATTCTATGTAAAATGTTTACAAGAAATACCGTAGATTTATAAATGAATGTATGTAAGTGTCATCCACTAATCAAAAATAGTCTGAAAAACTAAGTAATAACAACTATTGAATAAAAATCATGATGAATTCGAAAAGCAAAACTGATAATTATAATGTAAAAATTGAGTCTCAAGAGGTTACACAGATAAAACCAAATTACAATTTTTAGAAACTGTTGAAATACAGTATTAACTAAAACAAGATTAGTAATTTTGAGAACACATTACCATGAGATATAGACTATTATGGAAATGTTAATTACAATTTTTCAAGTAGTCCATTATCTGTGACGTTTAATTTCTTTTCAACAAAACACTCCACCCAGAATTAAATCAGAAAGAATACGAAGAAATTGAGTCATATTGTAGCATCCCATGGTGCACAAAAAGCCATTAGTTAACGCTTATAATCACAAATCCTTTATTCAAAACTATTGTTCTCAAAACTATATTCAATAAACGAGAAACAACTGTATGATTTTCATGACTTTATTTTAGTTAACTATTGAAAGGCATGACAATTGTATTGGTAAACAAATTAATTACGCATTTGTGCAAACAGTAATCTATTTTAAGAATTTCAGCATGAGTAAAAATGTTTTAAACAATGATTACTTCATGATAAAAGTGATTATTATAGAGGAATAAAGAGAGGAAAGAATGCTGTATTCTAGAAGCAATAACTCAAGAACTTCGATTCAGCAGACGGATAGTATCACTAGTCCTAACACAGATATAGCTTAAGGACGAGAACATCAATTTGTACTAAAGAAATGAGTTTCTATTGCTGTCATTAATATCATTTAGCATAGGACAAATACTAAAAACCTAAGTATAATAATGTTCTTTATTCAATCTAATGGACGTAAGAAGCATACAACCAAGGATACATATATAGCTCTATTTATGACTCATCAACTAGATGTACATCCATTCCACTTCTCAGATCCTCACTTAAACTCAAACTAAGTAGACATCGGTTACAATTGAAGATCTGCTGAATCACAACAGTAAATACTTAATCAACTAGTTATATATATATATATATATATATATATATATATATATATATATATATATATCATTACGGTTCATTTTCGATATCTTACTTAAATTAAAGCAACCAAGTTACCGATTCACCAGTGAAATAACGAAGTTTAACTTGATAATTAACTTTCATCACAAACTGACATCATCCAGAAAAGCCTTATAAAGAATGTAGCATTAAAAAGCTGTTTCATTCTTATTTGAAACTCATAAATAGTATCCATTCATGATTTAACATTTGGATGAAGTAAGGAAAAAGACAGAACAAGACAGATCACTTGTGTTCCTTATTTTCAATGGCTATATAAATGATATCAGTTTATGATTATATAATATTTTTTAAATTGAATGAATCCTTACAAATTTCATAAGAATTGTCATATTTAATTATTCTGTGAGCATAAAATTTCAAGTTATACAGAAAACTATAAAATATTATTTACTACACTTGCAAATTAGAACTGAACTCTTGTTTCGTATTTCTTCAGTCCATAGACGATTCAAATTTTTTTTTTATAAATTCTATTTGATGTATACATATTGTAAAAAAATTATTTCTCCAAAGAATTCAGTAGAACTTTTTGATCTGATTAAGATTTATTATTTTATGCTTCCTTTTGCTATATCGAAATTTACATTTTTGTAGACCAGATGAATGATTGATGAAACTGAATGATAATTAAAGTCAGACCAATAACAAATATTTCCCCCTTCTACTTTTATCATCATAAAAGTTAGCAAATGTACCATTCTTATTAATATCAGTAGTGATATTATTATTATTAGTATCAACATCAAAAAGAATTATCAGTGGTTACATCATACTGATTTTATGCACAAATAATATGAGAAGACAGTGATTACAATAAATAAGTAAACAAATACATAAGTGTACAAAACTAAATATTAGATATGAAAAGAGTAATGTCCATTAATGCATAACCATATGGTCTAAAATGATAAAACGGATGAGATATAAATAGAACTATTGTCTAGTTATTATTTGCATATGTATGTACACAAAGTAGTTATTTCAAAATGGCTCGTTAAAATTTATAGAAATATCGTCTTAAAAAGTATTTTGATACGGAAAGCTAACCGATAAGAATGATTTGTCTTTTTCGATAATTAATGGTCAGTATTATCAATAAAGAGTTCGATGTGACACAACACATTAAATGTAAGAGGAACTTGACATTATTTTACGTATTTTATCATAACAAAGTAATATTGACTGCTACTGAATAAATCTATCATTTATCAAGTGAATGAATTCAACCGACCTAGAGAAGATATATTAGACAACTTAGGCATATATTCAACAGATAATCACTATTTAAACATTAAAACCACGAAGTTAAGCAAGGGATCCCTTTTCAACGAATTTATTATCAGGCTGCACAATCGTACAATCGGATACGGGAACATGACCAAGTGTGGTTCTACAAGGGTGAAAGGAAAGCATTAGGAGTTCCATACTTGAACATCTAATCGACTGTAAACATTTTACTGATCCACAGTTTGATTTTAAGATTGTATATACGATTCGTCTAAATCTACTCAGATTTCTTCGTATCCAATTCCTAAAAATAACCGAAGCTCTTCGCATCCATGAGCTCAAGGCAGAACTATGCGTACAAAAGAAATACGTCCTATTGTTATCGTTACTTCGGCCGTAATTATTATTATTACTGCATACCTCCCTTTACCTACGTCTCATATTCTCATTATTTTGTTCATAATTAACATCAGAACGGGTTTTGTGGATATTATAGTAATTTTAATAGTTGAGATCATGAGTTAACTGAAGTTAGACCACCATGGAAAACCTTAAATCACTGTACGCCCGTTTCGTCCTACTGTGGGACTCTTCAGCAGTGCTCATGACATAATTTTAACTATTTTTTACACCACTATGACCTTTAATTATTGCAACAAAATCATTTTGTTCATTTTACTACGTTCATGTTATAATTCGTTACTAACTTATTAAGTCTAATGTTATTATTCGTGTCATGTAATCTACCATTATAATCCTTCTATTATTACTTGTTCACATTTCCTCACGGAACTTGTACTTTAACAAAAAAATTTCATATATATACGATTGTACAGCTTGATAATGAATTCGTTAAAAAGAGGTCCATTTGCTGAACTTCGTGTTTTTAAAATATTGAACAGCCATTAAATAGTAATTAATATCATGCTACCTAGCCTTTTGAGCCTATTGAACCCCACCGATCACCTTCATAATGGGGCCAGTTGGGTAAGTGAGGTTTTCTAGAGAACTTTTAATAGTGACCAATGATTCTTAATAATCGAAAGTTTCTTCAACTACGCTTAGAAAGTCTCACAATTCAATGGTTCAAATAATCGATTGTAGTAATGAATACATGATAATAATATATAAAGTTTATGCGTACATCAAATTTCTAATTATTCTTATATTCTATATATGATCTGACGATTACGTTACGTAACTCATTAACGAAGTGTTGGTTCATGTCTTTCAAAAAACTATTAATTTATGGAAATTCTACGAAAAAAATATCTTTCATTCACTAAAACGATTAGCTCATACATGCCTGAGAAATGACTTCATCGCATTCTGCAAACATTGTTTTCGATACTTTGTTTAAATTTGTGAAAGTAATTTTTAGAACAAGAATTCATAAAGTGTAAACATTTATTATGTCAAATTTGAATGAACTCTGCTTAATAAGCCTAAAATAGCTCAACTTATACTGTGATGTAAAATAAGCTTACCTTCAGGACTATAGACTAGAAGAAGATCAACACGATCACGCGCATCTCGTAAAGCTGCTGCCGCTTTCTCGTGCCCATACTTAGCGACATCAATGCCATTAACCTGAGGTAATTATGAATAAAACAAAAGATGACATCATCTTTGAGAATAATCAATTCTAATCATAACTATTATTATCACTTTACTCAGCACGTGCTTGATTTCTGTGCAAAGTGTCCAATATTGTAATAAATTTCGGCCTTACATACATTTAACTGGTAGATAATTAAAAAATGTTTAAAAACGTTTTAAGCAATGATAATTTCTCATTCACATTCATCCTCAAGTGTTAACGACCATTATTTCAATTGGATATCTCATTCCATAATATATATATATATAGGAATTGTGCAGTAATCCCTACTTGTTTTTCCGAAAGAAAAGTGAGTAGGAAAATATATTAACCAATGTGGCGATTCTTCACAAAAGTCACTGTTTTCATATTTTTTAGATTCGTAAAAATGCTACTTAAGCACGTAATTGTACGCGATCATGATGTATAATTAATCGACTAAAACGAATATAAAACTGAAAAATTGTTAGTATGGAGGTTTTGGAAATTGTTGAATTTCATTAAAATCATGAACTATTCAATATTAGACCACCATTGAAAACCTGTAAGCACTGGACGGTCATTTCGTTCTAGTATAGGATTTCTTAGCAGTGCGCACCCACGATCCTGCAGGTGGGATTCAAACCCAGGATTCTAGGTTTCGCGCAAACCTTTATTTATAAATCGGCATACTGAAACTTATTAATTATGAAATTTGAGGAGACTTTCAATTTATATTAAGAGATGAGTAAATATGAGTACGTGTACACAGCAGTAATGTGAGTACCAATAACTACCGACATCAACTTAATTGGGACCATTAAAATACCAGATAAATTTACAATTTTAGTTATAATCATCTAAATCTATGGCCAATTTTGATTAAACTACCCTGATCCACCTAGATGAGTTATAGGACTCATTATAACACAGAATAGTCAAGTGGTTTGTAAGAAATCCAGAATTTGCGTAGTAAACTGTGATACGTCTTGAAACTTAATGGCTTCTACACTTTCCACTCTTGTCTATTCAGGTTTTATTGTCTTGTTTAATTCTCTTTAAACTGAATGGCACAACTTGTTCATCACTGTAGTAAGAAATTGGTTAACTATTCAACTTACTAATTTATTATTTAGTAATTAATGTAACTTATGTTTGTTGTGGAATATAGAATTTTGAACGTAAGCTCAAGGGAGGTCACACTTTATAAATTCACTAGCCAAACTGATCTCTAAGAGACATTATTGAAGGGATATACCACTATCGAATAATATGCTCGTTGTTCATTAGCCAAAACAATTATTACCACATTCGTGTGCTAGGTTATACGGCACACTGGAAGTGTTGGATTTAACGGTATCAATAAAAAAATGTTGGATTACATATATTTAACCGTCAGTTATCAAAACTTAAGAGTAACAATTCTATAATATACAGTAATAGTATTTATATACGGTATTTGTAGATAAACACTATCAAAATTATAATTAATCGTCTATGTATCACGAAAATAGGTTTTATCAATGTCATCAGATGAAAATAGTTCGACAAAGAAATTTTTCTTCTCGACAAATCAATTTAGTGAGTCTGTAGTAGTTCTAAGCAGTGCATGCAATCTCTTACCCATCTACTGCTTCAACATCTTTAGTTTCCCTTTATTCATAACTGTTTGTTATCATCGTCTCTATATGTTTTTTCATTTCTTTCGAGTGAAAAATCACCCCTCGCACTTTCCTTTTGATCCGATTATTTTTCTTCAACCTGTTGATCACTACGCAAGTTACTTGTGACACAATAAATTTCAAAAAATCATATTATGTAATCACTTTCTAATGTTTAATAAACTACTATATTAAACTAACATAAATAAAATTGTACATCTTCAACGAATGATAATAATAATAAAAGGAAAGTTTCCCTCATTAGATTGTATTGTTTTCCATCTCCAGAAATACAATAGGTTTATTTTGCTGCATTACCATGTATCTAATTTGGGATTTATCAGAACAAACTAAGTGTAACTATTAAAAAACAGTATGTGAAGTATACAGAAAATCTAACAAAAAATTCATAAAATTCATTTTCCTGATCAACAACTGTTCAACTTAGTCAACCTGAAGAAAAAAATAAATAATTCAACTAAAACATTATGTCACTTATGACAATGAGCAAACTAAACACCCCTCTCTATAAAAAGAAACAAAAATCAGAAGATACGTTTCTCCAAGTCTCCATACGGGGAAAAATATTTTACGTTTATCAATAATCAGTTTTTTCTTTTGCTTCACATGTTGTTTTAGTTAAATTTAATGCAGAAAAAAAAGATCTTATCTTGAAGAATGAAAAGTTATTTAGTGGATGTCATTTTAAATCAAAGAAAATTTATCATTACATGTCAAGACTAATGTAATCGTGTAAAACGATTAGTGAAGATAGAGAGAAACTTCAGAAATTCAATTCCCTGTCGTTTTTTATTTCTCTCACCAATAAACTGTATCTGTGAAGTTTAAGAAAACTGTTGTTTTGCAAGAAAATTAAAGATATTTAACAGAGTTGTTATTACTAAATTATTCTAATAATTGGGACTAACTGCCAGTGCACAAACATTGGTCGATAGAACTTGTTTAATTATAGAGACTAGACATGTTAGTACTGTTTATGATTCAGTAGGTAACAAATGTAAAATTAAAATTTCATAAACCACTGAAAAAATATGTGTTTTTCTTCCTATCTGTTGATTAAGATGTAGCAAAAGTCTAAAATGAAGATAGCTATCATATTGTACAATTTTAAACGATATTTCAGCAAACCATAACACTTGACTTTACAGGTTCGAAAACCTATTTGTCTAATTCGGTTTAGGTAAAGTACATTATCATTATTTATAACACAAAGTATGGTTACGTGTGACTTATCTAAGGCTACAAGTGAGGAATGACATCAGAGAACCTAATAAAAGCTGAGAAAAGACAATAATGTAGCCTTATTGAAAATCCCTCTTCTACAATAACTCGACAGATGTTGTTATACAATCACGCTTGCTATCATTACTATACAAATGTTTAAGAAAACCGGATTTTTAAAGAAATAAGCATATGAAACGAAAAAAACTGAGTTTGAGTTTCATAGAGAGCATCAACTCTGAGGTGTAGATATATCTGGCTGAAGAGCTCCAAGTAAAAGGAAACGCACGTCATGGACTTTGCTGACAGCGAATATCAAAACTTTATCTAAAAGCGCTTCTACTTTTTTTGTAATCATATATATGATGAAGGATAATTCAACAGAAATTCTAATATGTGTGGATTGACCTCTTTATGTCAAAAGTCAACAAAACAAAATAACATTCATTACGTTAGTGAACACTAAATAACAAAACTAAATTTTGTTTGTATTATGTCATTCACAAGTAAATAATTAACTCATAACAAAACTAATAAAAATAAATCAACCAATGAGTACAAACCGAAGAGATGGGAAAGAAAAATAAACATATCCCATAAGAATAAAAAAAGTATTCATGCTTTCTTTTCTTTCATTCGTTGATTTTGAAAACATACCACTGAAAAAACAGGAATATCAATATTTATTCTAAATACACACTTATGAGATTCAAGTCAAAAATGATGATAAACGGTTTCATTCAACAGGAAAGAAGTATTTTATATTTGTTATTTTTTTAGAAATAAATAACACACACAAGATAATGCATTGCCACATTTCTGATTTTACTGTATGTAACGTGAGGTTAACCAAGTGGTTTGTCGCAGGTGGAAATACTTCTCATAGCTTGGTCGATTTGGTAGTCTGCATCATCGACTGACCTTAGATAGAGACTGATAACAAGGAAGCACAGGACAGTTATTGTGTTCGAGTATGTGAACATCCACGGTCCTATAGAAGATGGGTCTCGTGACGTGAAAACGGTCTTCAAATCACTTACTTGGCATTTAGTGGTTTACATTTTTAGTCAAAATTAATCCACGATGCTGTATATCCATCTTCCGATTGGATAGGTTAGTTTGGCTCACTAAAAGTTAATTGTTGCTACAGTGCCTATTTATTCAATAACGGTTTGTAACTCATGTCAATCCTCGTACGAAATCAAATGAGACGTGATGAAAATCAAGTCACAGTACTAAGTTAACTGACTGAACAGCGATAAGGGACTTCAATCGAATAAATGTACAATATAAGGCATTGAAGCTGACCCTATATACAGAAATATACGACTAGATAAGTGATCCGATAAATGGAATTTATACAGATTTTAATACCAGGTTGCAGAAAAACAAGTTTATGGATTCCTGATAATTCGTTAATCAATTAAATTACAAAAACAAATATAATTTTCTTTAAAAATACCATAAATTTATCTCATTTTAAAGTATGTATCAATTTACCAGAGTGAAGTTAAGTTGATTATGATTTTATATGACATATCCAGGTGAAATGAGATCTTGACCATTGTTGAAATAAGATCAAACAGTAACGTGATGGAATACTCTTATGTACAAGTTTTTATGCTCAAGTTGTTTTTTTAAGAAAATGTGTAAAAAATCTTGAAAACTGTTCAAAATTAATATGCTAATTAGTAAACAGACTTGTTACCATTATAAATTTATAGTGAACAAAGTCACATTCTACAAGCTATATATTGTCATTTTCCAAACGTTAAGTATGTATTATAGTGCCTTATCTTCAAAAAGTCTACAGTTAACCAGTCATTATTGAGTAACAAGGGCTCGAATACTGCATAGAATATCAAATCCTCAAGGTTATAAGTATGTCTCGCTGACTAGTTACAACTAGTGCGAAATATAGGTGTAGCATTTTTTTGTAAACTGCCTCCAACTGTTTAATACAAAACAAAATTTTATGTGGCAATATGATAATATTTTATTACTGTTTGGTATCATATCTAGAAATGTACGTTTTTAAATAAATTATTTACATGAGGTATATGAATTTTTTTCAATTCAAGGATAAAAAGTATTATCCACATTTGCCTTTTTATAACTCTACATCTAATCGTTCTATATTGACAAGATCTAGAAATGCGGATTATTACATTTCAACTTAGCAGCTCAAATGTATTGTGCTCATCAAGAAACTTCAAATTACTTGTTCTTATTTAATACGGACATGTTGTTATTATAAAACAGCCGATCATTCCTTCTTGGATCCAAGAGTTTCAGTGATACAGGTCAGTAATAGAGGTTATTTTCAACCCTATTCTTTTTTAAATTTGAATAGCTATCTGTCTTAGTAATTTTACAATACAAAAAGAAAATATAGTGTACAGAAAAGCATTATGTCAGTCATAATACAATAAATTGAGTTTTGAAAAAGAAATGTTTCAATAAAATGTTTTCAAAAGAATATTTGTTCAATCATGAGTGAACGTTTTATAATTGAAAATTCGTTTATACTAGATAACTGAATTATACTGTAATTTTGTTATATATTTTCAATAGAATGAACACTTATTTAGACGTGTATTTTCATCAATTCATACTTTCTATAATTTAAAATTCAGAAAACTTACTGTTAACAATCGATCACCAACCAATATCCTTTTTGATAGGCCAGCAGGTTTATCAGGTTGTATATGAGAAATAAATGTTGCTTCTGAACCATCACCACCAACAATATTTAAACCAAGATTTCTTCCACTATTTGATGAATATCCACGTTGAATTATATCAGAAATATCTGTTTGATTTCTATTCATAGAAGTAATTCGTTTACGACCACTTCGATACAATGTAACTAAACGAGCATTTGGCCATTCATTAAGTAAGTTGGACACTGAAGCAGCCGCTGCATAATCAACTGACGATTACATAGAGAAAATAAATGAAAATCATACAAAATGCAAAGAAAACTGTAACAATCCATTGTGTAGAATGGAAAAATCATTCTCAATATATAGTTATTATTGATTTATAGTTCCTAAGCAAAAAATGATGTGCCATTCACAAGTACAAGTAAAAATTCTCAAAACTCATATACTTATAAGCCTATATACAGTTGTTCACTGTAATAGAAAGTCATAATGAAATGTTGGAATCATTTAATTCTTTATTCATTGTCATCAATCACATCTGTTGGGAAATAATTTTAGCCTTAAGTGTGTTGACACTTATCAAGCACCAACAAATACAATATACAGGATCTTCTTGGTCCTTCACACAACTCTGAATTGCTGTAATCGATGACGCCTCAGTTGAGTAATAACCATTCTTATGATACCAAAGTGCTAGTTTAAGGACAGTATATATGATGGTTTGAATCTCGTTCTACATATTGGTATGAATCCAAATTAATCGACTAGACTGTACGACTTAATCGTAAATCAAAGTGCGAACTCACTTACACAACCCATTTTTGATTACCGAAAATCTACTAAAATCAACAGTTTAGGACTCGAAATGGAGTTATCTAAAATCTAAACTAGGCAACTATTACACATCCAAACACTGTTCTATTTCTGAATACACTTGTAGAAAAATGTTTCAAAACATCAACAAACAGTACAAATATTTCCAGTTAACCTGTTCCAAATATATTTAGTCAAATGGAACAATGAATTTTCTCGACTTCTGTAAGCCAAGATTAACATCAGTGTCATAAATCAAGTTACTTAAATACAACTACTCACGTAAATTATGAATGAAAACAAAATGCGTTAAAATAGTGGACACTCACAAAACATTTAAAGATCTTTCAACACAATTAAATAGGTAAAACAGTAACTGACAATTTCTACTCACTTATACCAACCATTCTATTTTCTAGTAATTCTTGACCAGTTGCACCAAAGCATGGATTATTTGTTGTTGTGACGGTTTCGTTTAGTTGTGATTTATTACACTTTTCAATTGATAAATCTGGTGAAGAACGATACCGGTGATTAGGTATTGCAGATGATGAATGAATATTTTTTGTAGTCCCAGATTGACGGCGACGATTAGCATGATTTTGATCGTTATGACTTAAATTACGATCTTGTTTTGATTGTGAAATTACCGAAGATGATTGTTCATATCTATTCTGTTCGTTTTGTTTATTTACATCAGACTCCACTGGATGACCGGATGATGATTCAGCATGATAAGAACTATGTACAGATGGTTCTGAAAGTGGAGACGTATGAGATGAAGTGGAAGGAGAAAAGGAAGCCGATCGACGAATTGACGATAAAGATACTGATGATGAACGCGATTTAGTATAACATGTAGGTTCAACGTTATTATCATCATAACTATTTTTACCACTGAAATCATTATTACAAATAATTACATCCTGATCATTAAGTGCATTGGATTCAGTTTTTATTTCTATCAAAAGAAACGAGAAACAGAGATGAAAAATGAAAATAAAGATAATAAAGGAACCAATTTTAATCAAAATATTTATATATCATAACCCAAATATAATGAAATTTAGTTTTGTTTATTAAGTAAAGGAAATAGAATGTAAAACAACTGGGTGTAACGAAACATTTCCTAAACATAAATATCAATGACTAAGTACACTTAAAAGTTGTAAGAAATTAATATATTCACAGTAGACATACTATACACATTAGACAAGTAAAGTGACGCACTTATTTTATCTAAACCTAATGATATATCTATTGTTTTAAGTGACTCTATTTATGAGATTGATTGAAATAATCAAGCATTTTTAATATCATATAACTATTTATTAATATAGGCTTTAGCTTTAAAATATATACTAGTTTAATTCATTTTCCGATATAAAAAAGACAATAATCATAAGAAATGATTAAGGATTTCACCGTGCAATTGCTTTAGTAATTATATTGTGAGAATATATATGGATTGGTTTACCACGATTTTATGAACGCAGGTCTTGTTTATGAATGAAAGCATTTTTCAAATTAATAAACTATCAGTATGAATTAAATAATCTGTTATGTAATTAAACTGAATGATGAATGGATTTAAAAGTGTACTGAAAATGTAAATAAAACATTTCAAACATTCAGAATAATGTTATGTAATGAATTTTAGAAATACTATTTCTAATTATAGTTTTAAACATATGTCTTTTTTAATACTATATATTTTCTGACTACCTAAAAACGTTCATTTTGTATGAGGGGAATGACATAACAGCTTTGTTTCTGTCAGTGTTACATTGTAATCATGAGTTTGTTCTAAAAGACATGGTATATAAATGTTTAACATGACGTCTTTGTAAGTTAAGCTTGATGTATCCCGACGAGAATAATGAATGGCAACTGCTGGGATCAATATACGGACCATCACGATACATATATTTTTATTGTATAATTGTTGAGTAACTAAACTATGTATATTCATATTTCCCTTATTAAAAGCTTCATTTTGACCTACAGACTATTATTATACGATTTACCACTCTTAAGTTATGCCCAGTCTATTAATTACAGTCTCCCACATTAACGGCCACTTTTGGTTAGATCTTGTACAAACGTTATTTTCTATTTTATGGTACGACGTAGTCTGGTTTGTATATAAACCTAGTGTGTTTGGAATATAAGACTCACATCACGGAGGCTGAGATTTGTGTTCTGGAATTAACAGGCAGGGCTAGTCAGGAAGAAGGGTCGATAAAGACTCCAGACTGCTCATGCGTCATTGGTCCGGTCGATAATTCACTGTTCTCTAATCGGCGGTATCATTAGGTTATATATTGATAGGGCACACAGCTAATGAGCGTGAGCTCGGAAAACCGTACTTCCATAATGTTGCATAAAAATATAACAAATTCTATTGTATTCCCCTTTGAATAACAACTGAGAATTATTTCACTCAGATAAAAATATGGTCTCAATAAACCAGTTGGATAAATGAACATATGAACAATGAAAGCTTCACGATTAAACCATCCGACTTAAAAAAATAAATCATCCATCTGAGCCAAAAATATCTGCCATCTCAAGAACTTACTACGTAAAGGAATTCGAGAAAAAGTTAACCACCCACAAAGAATAAAAGGCAGTCATGATTATTCCTCATTAATGGAATTACTTAAATAAGGAATGTTTCTGATATTCTAACTAAGAAACTAATACTGTCTATTTCTCATTGTTTTTGAGATAACAAACTTGTGGTGAGTTTAAAAAGAAGTGTTAAGCAATGTGTGAGTGTCAAAGCCTTAACTTATTTTTACTAGTTCGGATCACACATATTTAAATTTGTAACTTTTGTTGATTTCATACTTATTACCAAACACCCAAATTAAAGAAATAGCTTTTTAACTAATTAACAAGAAAAACCACTGGTGAATTTTTATTTCCACATATTGATGAGTATCACACAAAAACATATGGCTTATGCATGAGAAAACTATGCACTAAACATTCACTGCTTCCTTGAAAGTTAGATTACTTCATTCGCCGAAACACACAGACACAGTATATATATATATATATATATATATATATATATATATATATATATATAAAGACTAGTATTTCGATTACTTAGTGTGAGTACATTGCTAACTTAAATAAACATGTTTATCTTAAAATACTGATCATTACTTAAATAAATGGCGTCTAACTAATGAAATCAGATTTAACCCCTTCGGTAAAGTGGAAAGGAGTTCACCAGCTTATTAAATCTATGTAATACTTTAAGAATAACTACTAGTTTTCCACAGTTTTGTAATCGAAGAGCTCATAATATACTTTTATATTTCATAAGCTATTTCAATGGTGACATTTTAATAAGATTTTAAATTAATTTTCATCAAGAAATGACAATAGTTCAAAAGTATTTGGAACATATGTAGTCACAGACAGTATTATATATACGAAATCAAATGAAACGGAACATAGGATACTCAGTGGATACAATGGAATGTCAAAGTAGAATCCAAACTTTTAAAATTTTGCTTTCATTATTTTTCGATTAATAGGGATAATCAGTAAATTATTGTCTGAATGCAAACTTAAATGCTACATCATAGTGAAACTTATAAAGAACTGTCACGTAATCACTGGTATACAAATAGTCATTACACAAGAAGGTGTTTGTATAAAGATTCCTGTAGAACTATTATTGTCTGGGAAGTATTAAACTGACTTTTGTTATATTCCAACAAAAATATCTCAATTCATACTGCTCGAAATACTCTCACACGGCCACGCGTATATAGCCTCTGCCAGGGAAGTCCTACTCACTGCCTTCTCGTGGCGGGAGTGTTGTTTACGAAAATGAGAGGACGAAAAGCGAATGTCCGGCGCTATAACCGGACCCCAATTCTATGGTGCACATGGGCTCCAGTATCCTGAAGGAACAAATGGCGTATGAAATAACTTTTGGTCACCGGCTTCCATGGGACTGCATCTCCTCACGATGCTCCACTGCCTTGTGGACTAGACCCTTGGGTCAAAGGCTCGGGGTGTGTCCCCCTAAGAAAACCACCTGCTTCGGTCTGGGCAACCGGGCAGTATATCAGCCTACACACAAAAGTGTGGCGCATATATATTTGGTGCCCCCTTGTACCAATATTTATGTGTTTAAATAAATAAATAATAAATCATACTACCCATCATGACACTTAAAAATTCTAAATTCTACTTTGTTTGCTATTGTAAATGAGCAGTATTAAATAGACCTTTATGAGTTAAACGGAACAAATCTCTACTTTTCAGTAATTTGTTAGAGAACAAAATATTCAAGTTCATGTTGATTCATGATTAAATTTAATTTTACTAAAAAACTATTATCAATCGTGATCCTAATAGCTTCATCAACTTTACAGAAGATAAACATTTATTGATTTATCCCAAACTCATTTATAAAGTTGAATAACGAAAAATGAATTTCTGCCTCAAAATGTGAAAAAAGTTTTTTTTCTACATGCAATCCGTTCACATTTAAATAATATTAGTTGATTTTATCTTGTCAAACAATAAACATTAATATAGTAAACAGAAAACAAAAAGTGTTTCATTTATTTGTTTTGTATTTACAAAAAAAAAGAAAATCTCTTTTCATTCATTTTAGTTTGGACTGTTAATTAAAATTCCTACTTATATGTAAATAAGATCGATCGATTTCTGTATGAACTTTGAAAAGTAGAATATAAAAGGAAAAATGAAGTGAAAAAATATCAAACCATATTTAGTAGCCTTAAGCGAATCAATTTTCACTCGGTCTACATATATAACAAAAAAGGGAAATTAAAAAATATATGTTTAAGAAAAGTACAAGAAGAAGTAATTTTATTCAATATAAATGGATAAAATTCGGGAAATAACTAATGAATATGTAAATTAGTAAACGATTTACGAGAAAGAACATCAGTAACTGTAATGTGTTCCCAATTTTATTCAATTCGTGGTATAGTGAGATGATCAACTAGAAAAATTCATAACAAATCTTCCATTCAAAACACATTTTGATCATTGACGGAATCATAGCTAGGGACAGATAAAAATTCCTATACCAGGTACAAAAATCTGTTCAGTGCTACCTAGTTTTCAGTTTGACATTAATCATAGAATTCTATGGCCAGAAACCCATAACAAGTTAAAATTGATCTCTACAAAACATTTAGAATAATTTAAAATGTTGCGTTTTTAGTATAATCGTCTATACTGGTCAGTTCTGTTTCGTTAAAATATCCATACTTTATTACTTTAGTTTATCAACTATTTGATAACAAATTGTACATATACATAGGTTAAAATTTAACTACGACCTAGGATTTGCGACAATTTTGTGTAGTGATCTTTAAAACTGTTCTTTTATTCTTTTTTTCGAGATCGACAGAAAAGTAAATCTGTAATATTAAAATTAATTTATGCATTGTTTGTATTTTAAATTCACTTTGTATAACATTAAAGAAAATATTTCCTTGAAAAAGTTTGGATCAAATTGCCAGGTAAAACGTTGGATTTACATCGAATCCTTTCGCTGAGATTTTACAAATACATTCTTCCTCCTTAATGTCTCGCATCAACTCAGCGCCCAAATACTGTGAAACTATTCGCTTTGTATAATTATTATTCATAGATCATATCAATGGAATATTAGCGATTGCTATAGAACACATAGTGTTTTCTTGTAAATTTTTAATGGACGACACGAATATAAATACATCAATAATTTCGGATATTTGATTGACTGAATATGAGAAATATTTATGACACGCGACAGCCAAAGGAAATTTCAATCTACATTTTCAGTGAGAAAACATGAACAGTGTTTATCTAACTGTAGTAAAAAATGAGATACTTGTAGCAAAAATTTTAAAAGATTCCAAGTTTTTTTCGCTCACGCTTCAATATGACCGAGACCATCTAAGGATGTGCAGATTTTCGTATAATAGGTGTTTTTACACACTTTCCAACAAAATAGGCTACAATAAAACCACTTATTATTTAAATAAAAACACATGAAAACGTAAAAACCACTTTCATACAACAAAAGATTTATGAGAACGGAGCTATATAACTCCAAAGCCTAAAGTCAAAATCATGCTATCAGTACTGATAATTGTATACGACTATAACCTGACACTTACCTGTTGACGAAGTATGATGTGATGAATAATTATTTACATATTTTACTAGAACAAGTCGAACCTGATCACCAGCTTGTTTTAAAACACGGACTGCTTGTTCATGAGTTAAATCAATAAGTGGTACATCATTTACTTGAACAATTCTATCACCTATACGAATTCGACCATCTGTTTCTGCAACACCGCCAGGAGTAAGCTAAAAGAATTTTAGAAATAAGTGCATATTGAGAAGACATTATAGCTATACACCTAGTTCTTGATAAATCATATATTTAGATATTCATGTTGTTTTCGTCACTTGTTACAGATGAACTAATTTCCGATTTGCACATTAATTTATAAGCTGATCAGATTGTAAGTTCTGATAAGAAAATTCAAATGTAATGATCTGCGAATTCTTAAAAGAAATCACATCTATATTTATTTATGACAAATTTATTTAGATAGAAACCATGTTCCTGGTGTATTTCGATCACCACTCATTTGATGAACATTCTGAATTTCAAAAGAAGAACTTCCAGTCTATCTACATTACTGACATGACATAATTTTCAGTATTAATAACACATCTCCCTTTAAGAAAAGCTAATATCAGTGATAAACAGTCATGCGTTTTAGAGGCTTCACTTGACAAACAAGTCACTGGATATTAAGTTGCTTGGCGGTGTTATAGAAGCATCATCTTAAGAAAAGGATTTCCATCGAAACCCTGCACAAAATTCAAGAGAGGAAGAACAAGGAAAAAAAATTAACAACATCCGGACAAGAATAAAGCCAAGAAACACAGAAGCAAACAACGAAGTGAAGAATAGCATCAGGACAGACAAGCAGAAATACATCGAAAACCTAGCAACGACGGCGAAAAGAGAAGGAAATATGAAGTAACTATATGACACGACAAAGAAACTAGAAGAGAAATATAGTAAACCGGAAACCGGTCAAAACAAAGAAGGCAAGTCAATCACTGAGATTCGAGAACAGGGGAACAGATGGGTAGAACAATTTGAGGAACTCTTGAATAGACCAGCTACATTGAAACCACCGGATATCGAAACAACACAAGCAGACATCCCTATAGCTGTCAATGCACCAGTGATCGAAGAATTCAGGATAGCCATCAGACAAAGTGTGAGAAGACATCAGAACCCGATAACACATCACCTGAAGCACTGAAGTCAGATATAGAAGCAACTGCAAACATGCCTAACACTCTATTTATGAAGATTTGGGAGGAAGAACAAATGCCAATGCACTGGAAAGAAAAATAACTCATCAAAATACCAAAATAAGGAGATCTATGCAAATGTGAAGTCTACAGAGGCGGCATCACACTACTGTCAGAACCAGGAAAGGTTTTCAAGAGTGTCGCTCAACCAGATTAAACATTCAATAGACCTCCAGCTTTGCGATCAACAGACCGCATTCCGTAAGGGTCGTTCGTGCATAGACAAAATCGCGAGACCCGTTGAACAATCAATTGAATAGAAATCATAACCATACATCAACTTCATTGATTATGAGAAAGTATTTGACAGTGTGGATAGGATAGCAATATGGAATCTTTGATACTATGGTGTACCTGAGAAAATCTTCAACATCATCCGGAATCCATACAAAGGATTACACTGCAAAATTGTGAATGGAAGTCAGCTAACAGACGCATTTCAAGTGGGGACCTATGTCAGACAAGGCTGCTCACTCGCGACCTTTCTCTTCCTAATATTGGTTGACTAGATCATGAAGACCTCGACACCTGAGGAAAAGCATGGAATACAATGGATAGGTTGAATGCAACTAGACGATTTGCACTTCGCAGACGACATAGCTCTCCTATCACATACACATTAACAAATTTAAATGAAAACAATTAGTGTAGCAGCAACCTCTGCATCAGTAGACTTCAACATACACAAGAGAAAAAACAAGATCCTCAAATAAAACACAGTCAAAACCAACGCAATCACACTTGATGGAGAAACTCTAGAAGATGTGGGAACTTTCATGTATCTGATCAGCATCACCGATGAATATGGAGGATCTTATGCAGACGTAAAGGCGAGGGTTGGTAAAGTAAGGTCTGCATCCCTACAGTCGATGAACATATAGAACTCAAAACAACTGTCAACCAATATCAAAGTCAGAATCTTCAATACGAACGTCAAGACAGTTCTACTGTACGGAGCTCAAACTTCGTGAACTACCACAACTATCATCATAAAAGTACAAATATTTATAAACAATGGTCTACGAAAGATATTCAATGTCCATTGACCGGATACTATCAGCAACAACCTACTGTGGGAGAGGGCAAACCAGCTTCTACCTAAAGAGGATATTAGAAAAAGACCCTGGAGGTTAATAGGACATACATTGAGGAACTCACCACACTGCATCACGAAGCAAGCGTTAATTTGGTGTCCTGGAGGGAAAATGTAAAGTGGATAGCAGAATAACACCCTACGACGAGAATCGGAAGCAGACGTGAAAAGGATGAATGACAACTGGAAAGGATTGTCCAGGACAAAGTTCTATGGAGAATACTGATGAGCAGTCTACACTCCTCTACGAAAAATAACGGGCGTTAGTAATTAAGTGGTGGAGTTATGATGTTCTTCACTTCTTATGTCTTGTCGTCGCTGATTGTTATGTCTGAATCGTTTATTATTTATACTTGTAAAACGATGAAGATTTATCAACCAGAAAAGACGACAATCCTAGTTGGAAATACACTGATTTATATATTGAATGCATGCCCATTTTGATAATTAATTAGGATGAAGTGATATGAAAAATACTCAGAGTTATAACAAACCGCAAGCTGAGTGTCATGCTGAGCATAGTCCATGTTAATTTAATACAAGAATATCGTTTCTTAAATAAAACGCCACTCAAACAAATTAATGTTATACCGCATAAAATATCACAATGGAAAACAAACACAAATATCACACTGAGTAATTATCAAATTGAATAAAAACAGAAGTAATGTTGAACAAAAATCACGAGTAAAAGAATGTAGGTTTATTGTTTAATCCCATCGTATCAGATGGTAACCATATTTGATCTCAAGTAAAATAGTATTCAAACGATTTATGTTGCATTTTATTCATAAAAATAGTACGTGATAGGATATGTATAAAATAATCTAAATGAAGGTATGCTTGAGTCCACTGAGCTCATAGAAATAAATACATTTAAGGAATATTAAAGGCGAATATTTCTAAAACACCATGTCCATAAAGTTTGTATATATTTGTACCCTATTGGTGTAAATTACACAAAATCGTATGATTTATGTTTCTTGAGAGTTGTTTTTGTTATCTATATTATGTGTGGATTATACATAATTTATTGATTAATAGGCTAAAATGTTAAAAAAAACTGAAGCAGTCTGGAAAAACAGATAGTATTTGGAGAAATCTGAAACAAATTAATACTAAATAGCCTTTATGTGAAAAGAATTTTAGTAACCGTGCCATTTGTATATTCAGCAGGTAGAAATGATATAAATTCCGTATAACAACTGATCTAAATAACAATAAATGCATCAGTGAACAAAACTAGCCAATTAGAAGTGATAATAAAATATGGAGACAAAATACAAAAAAAAAAACTCGATGAAACTAACAATTTAAAGTTCATACTTCACTACACAATTAAAATCATCACAGTATACAGATCATTATAAACATTTCAGTTGTGGAACGTTCACTTAATTCTTTGATTGAAGATAATGAAATGGTGCTTCAATAGATCATCCTACTTGAATGATAATACTGGATTATTCATGAAAACAAACAATCCAAGTCAAAAGGTCACGTAAAGAAAAAGAAAAAATAATTTGATTACTAAAACTAGTTTCTGATAAAAAAATTTCAAAAAATCTCATATAACTTCTCAAAACTATAAAACAAGGGACAGAGCTTAACTTAGCCATTTTAATCAAGAGAATGAGAATTTATGCCAAACATTCATTTTTGGTACAATGATATAGTCACATAAATTCAATGTGCTTAGTTTGGCTTCTCGAAATCACCTAATGATCATCGCATTATCTAACTATAGAACGCTGTTACAATCTTGTTTGTAAATTACAAATTTATTAACAGATTAAGTTTTTCATTCCCATTTATAGCTCACAGATATAGGTCATTCATAACCCAGTTGTAAAACAGTATTCTATATTAAAACAGAAATATTCTGGTGTAGAATACAAGTATAAAATATCACAACAAACCTTAGTTACAAATATTCCTGAGTCACCATTGACTGTCTCATTTCCAACACCACCAGTTATACTGAATCCTAAACCACTTTTTGTCCCTCTAGTGAGAAATACTTCCACAATAAGTGGACCAGGTTTTGGAGGGGGTGTAGGTCTGGTGCCAAGATTTGTAAATTCATTAGATTGGACGGATCTTTGAGATTTTGTATTTCCAGTTAACTTTTGTTGGCTAGAGTTTTTACTACTTCCTTGGAGACTATGATGGCCACGGCCCAGTGATGCACAACCAACAGTTACGCGTTGTAAACCACTGCACCAAGAAAAAGCTGGAAATCTGTCAATTTAAAAACACATCACATTTTTTAATAACAGTCTATAAACTCACAGCTAATTAGCAAATTAAATGAAAAATGACTTCAAAGTTAAAATCAATCTCTAATAAACAAAAAATTAAATATTTCAATTGCGACGTTAACTACTTCACTGCTTCACATGTTCAACATTTGGCTACTGAATTTCAGTTTTTAGGAAAAACTAGAACCTAGAGCAGGAAAGTTAACACTAACAAAATCTAGTCCATGATTTGCAAATATGCAAGACAATCTGGTATAATAATTGCACAATCTTGTAGATTTTTTCTCTGGGAGTCAGAGTTTTTTTTGTAGATAAATCCGAAAACTTAGTCTTAAATACAAACTATAAATTGTATACTCCCGCTTAACATAAAAATCTTCCATTAATTCAACTTGCGTTATAAATAATGGTGAAAAAATTACAAAGTAGTCATCATCAAAATAAAAAACTTTGTTTACGAAAATGAAATTTTCAAACAGATTATAATAAAACGTTTTCGATCTGTTTATTTTTATCGATAGTGTAAAAAAATCTGTGTTAATAAAATGTCAAATTATTCAGTCAATGAAGAAAAAAATCAACACAAATACTTCACGAATAAAAGTGTGCAAACAGCGATTCGTAATAACAGATATTGTATTTAAATGTTCATAATATGGACATAAAAGTATTTGCACCAGGATAAAAATGCCTTCATTACCCGAATGAAGCATGATCAAAGAGAATTACTAATCCTTTTCTAACCATACTTTGTAATAATTCGTTATCAATATGGTTGAAGTGAATTACTTAATTCGTATTTAAAAAAAAAGTGGATGGCGTTATCGATTAGGTAGTACTCACTAATGAATGAATTTAAAGGAAATACTTAATTATGTTAGAGATATTAAATAAGATTAGTTTGATTTCTATCAGCCAATCACATCTGCCATTTAGAAATAAATCGGTAGTGAAATAATAAGTGACCTGATAATTTACTTACCCGGAATTATTAAAGGTTTTAAATTGTTATCAGCATTATCTTTTACATAAGAAAATGAATAATAATAATAATTCGGAAGAAAATTTGTTCTTTGAGTTTGTTGAAGCGTTTACATCAAACTAAATGAAATTATTCTAAAGACGCTTCTATTCAAATTAATAATAATAATGACGACAATAAAGATAATATGAATTACCTAAATGAATAGCCTTGTTAAACTATCGAAACTACTTATTTATAGATGTTTTGATATTATTCAAGGATTTCAACATAGTCCAAAATTCCTATGTTACTTATGTTTATCGAAAAATGTCTTATTATTTAATGTACCTCTAATAAATGCATAAAGTATCATAAGGTAAAAATGTATCATACGTACAAGTTGACCGAGTCTGAAGTGAGTCTCCAGAACGTCCATAAAATCTTGAGTAAAAAAGCAACTGCTAATTACTTAATTCAAACACTTATAAGATGCGTTATGTAATAATTGCATAATGACATTTCGATTATAATTTAACATTGAGTAATTGGAAGAAAAAGGATTAATAATATTCAATGTTAATTTATATTCAAAATGTCACTATGCAATTATTACGTAACGTATCCACTCAATGAGTATTATTTCGCTATTGTAACTTATAAGATGATCAGAATTTTACTGTTATTTATGTACATATTTTATTTATAAATATACAAAACGGGTAAGATTAAAACAAATACTAAGGTAATAATTTACATCACTGAAATAAGCTTATAAAAGACTGAATTGTCAAAATTAATAATATTTACTGTCCATTTTAACTAAAAACATCTTTTTTAGAAAAAAACACTGGAACATGATAGATATCTAAAAATAGGCTACAAATTGGACAAATTTTACAGATAACTTCATTTAAACATATTTTTTGTTTTCCCCCGAAAAAGTTGAAAAGTGACATGGTTACATTCGAAAAAAATCTAAGTTATTTTATAACCGACAACTTTCATTTAAAATTCTCTGACTTGTATTGAACTGCTAGTCATTAATTATGCAACGAAAATAAACTTAACACTGAAATATTTTCATTGATTTAATATGTTTAGTTACAATACTGAACGTGTTCAAGTGAATACCATTTTTTAAATCGGTCGACTCCACAAGTTATAATATCGAAAAATAGTTGGCGAAATTCATTTCAAAGGCAATTAAAAAATCTAACATTATTATTATTATGGTTATTTCCTATTGTACAGTTTTAAGGTCATTTGCTTTACAAACTGGTATTGTTTTAAAAAAAAAACGATTAAAGAGCCATGTAAAACATTAGATAGTCAGTATTTCTGTAAAAACAAGTGATTTATTTAACAAAATAACAATTAGAATGATGTTTGGTTCAGTCTATGTTTTGATCAATAAATAAATGATAAATAAATTGTTTAGTCGTAATATAACACAGGTAGCTCCATTACACAAATAGGTTTAGGTAAAATAATAATGCATGACTAAATTAAATCATTTTCGGTTCAAATCGTTATTCATTACAATTAGGCATTCTTGCTAACGTTAGACAATACAGCGAAATACATGATAATTATATTAGTTTTTTAACCATCAGATCTGATTCTTAAAACACCTTATTCTTCAGTATATAAACAAGAGGATTTGTACATCTGACACGGTGGAAAAAGATGAAAAGTTACTGACTGACACATTAATAGCAAATGGTTATCCATTAAATTTTATTAATAGGTGCAAAAGTCAGTTAATACCAAGACCTCTTGTTTATTCGGTCCCAAAGAAAAAAGTTTACATCAATCTATCATATAGAGGTGAATCTAATAGCATAGTTTTAAGACAGAGATTGAAAGCAGCGATCGAGAACACCTATTATGCTGCTCAATTGATTGTGATTGAAAAGTCCAAGGCCATGATTCCTAGTACACCCAGACAATGCACCAATGATTACGTCACATCCCATTGTATTTACCAATTTACATGTTTGTGTGGACACACATACATAGGGAGGAGTAATCGAACAATGCAATCAAGGGTCAATGAACATGTGCCTAAATGGCTTCAAAATCAATGTGTGTCAAACGATCCGATCAACGTGGGTGGTAGAAAACCAGGGTCATCGATAGCGAAACATATAATTGAAACGGGGCACAAAATTGATATTAATGCAGCTTTTAAAACGTTGTATAGAAATTGTCAAGGACGAATTCTTAAGTTTATAGAAGCCTTGGCTATTCGTAAATTTAAGCCCCCTTTATGTGCACAAAAACAATTTGTCGTAACCTTGAATTTACCTTGGTAATCCTTGAGTCATTCTATGGCCTAGGATAATGCGACAATTTCTTATCCTTTCTCTCCCCTTTGTTATTTTTGTTTGTACTTTAACTTTCATGTAATTGACCTTTATTAATTTTCATATAAAATGCCCTGACAAGTATATGTGTGACCAGATTGTTCGAAATGTATAGCGCAAATACATCACATTTTTCAGATCAACTCCGTCTTCTCATTGTTCTATCGAAATATTATAATACCTGTCTAATTACTATTCTTGCACAAAAACCCTAGAATAATATTTCAACAGAATAGCAATTATGCCAAATGGAAAAAGAAAGATATTCTTTTAAAAGCTATAAGTTATCAATTATTCGAATGTGGATAAAATCTGACTCAATTTTAATTTATGTTCATTATACAGCAATATAACAAAATAATGACTGAATATAGGAATAATATGACAATGAAGGTGTTTAATGTAAATAATTAACACCGAATCCTAGGAACTACATGGTCTGAAGTCAAAATACTTGACTGAAAAAACTATCTTACAGAAGATTTTATTCATGAACATTGATTTCAAAGGAGATAAAATAGTAGAGATCTTAAGAAACCAAATAATCTAATTTTTGAAGAAAAACTTTTGATCAGTCGAGCTACGAATCGCACTTCCCAGTAAATACCTGATGCAAGAATGTACCAAGGATACACTTTAGGCAACCTCAATGTGTATCCTCTAGTTTACTTGCTCTTTCGCAGCTTGTTATATCAAATGTACAAACCATGCATTTACAAACGCACATCCGAACACTATGCAGAATGGTTATTAAACGGTGAGTATAAATCAGTTAGTGGCTCGATTGTTGAACATCTAGACAATTATAGACGTCTATCTGCGCCAGAATCTTCATTGAGAACAACTCACAAAGTAAAACTAGTCAATTTGAACGAACCCTGAATAGGGAACTCGTGTACTGCGGAGAATATGTCGATTCATTTACTCATGCCTGATCTTGTTGTTCAGAAGCGATTTATCCAGTCCCTTAGATTATCATGTTTCTAACAGCTCTTCATATTTTACTAGTAACTTGAAATGTATTTGGTTCCTCTTAATCTATCTTCTTATATTATTCATGTGGACAGCTATCTTTCACATCTCTGCTCTATATGCTATTTTGAAGTGTTTGTCCGTAGTTTTATCCTTTTCATAAACATTACGTGGATAGTCTTTCATATCTCATTGCTATATATCACTCTTATTACCCTACGGCTACCACGCAACCCTGACTTCTGATTGACTTTTAGTACTTCTGATAAAGACGCAATGATCTTTTTATTTCTATCATAAACCATGTTACGTACAAAATAACTAAAAATACGACTTTACAGATCTTGCAAATGATATCGCCAAAAGGATTTCCTTTGCTGAAAAGTTAATTTTCTCAGTTCGCTATCGATGCAAACTGCACAAACACTAATCAATATATATCAATTAAATGGGAATAAGCATACTATTGCACTAGATATTTTTAAAAAAAGAGTAACTTACCCAGCGCATGCCACCCCGCGTCTAGATAATCTTGAACCAGTACTAGTCTGTCTCATACTAGTTTGACTACCTTTTTGATTATTTTGTATTGTAGCATTATTGGAATCGTTTGGTGGTTTGTTAACGTTACTAGACCTTTGATGCTTTGGTTCAACAATAACTTCAGTCATTGAAGGTGATACATGAACACTGGTTGATTTATGTGGTAGTTTGTTTGTCGAAGTTGTTATTGTTGAGTTCAGTGTATGCTTACTATCTTTATGATCAAATAGTGATCCGCTTATCAAACTAGTTGTTGTTATACTTGCACCATATTCAATACTTTTCGCTCCTCCTGCACTGCCTGTTCTTGTACTAGCTAACGATTCAATATTATGTGCATTTAATGATTGATTTGATAAAGATGGCTGATAATTTGACTGTTGAACAGTTGTCGGTGATGTTTTCATAATATGTTTCGTAGGATTTATCAGAGGTTTAGAATGAGAATAGGACGAAGAACAAGACATCAGTGAATATTGTTCAGAAATAGCTAGTTCTGCTTTACGTTCAACTATCTGAAAAGAAATGTGTAAAAACCTTTTACGTAATTACAGCTTAAATGTACGAAAAACGAAACAATTTCTCAAATCTATCCTAACACTTAAAACGCTCAAAATAAATATATTCAACACATATAAGCTCTTACAATTTTTAAAAACATAATATGTTACTTATTATTGTTTCGACAAAAAGCTTAATTAGAGTTGCAATGTCGCGATCATCTAAGTATTTTAGCACAACCTGTCAAGCTGACGCAATTCTATGATTAATCAAATTTTTATAATAAAAAATATCATAGTGATAATGAAAGACATTTGGGATACATGAGATTTTACAATTCTAATTAAAAAACAGTAAACATTTTAAAAATTGACTATTAAAGGAACAATAAACTTTTAAATTTTCAATATAAATAAATAAAAATTATTTACATAGGCGGGACCATTTGTATGTTTTAAAGCTTATTCGATCTCAAATTCATTTTATCCTGAAAAAATTTTAGTACTGAAAAGCACTAAACACTTTTTTCTACCACGGATAGAAGTCCCCAGAACTAGCTGTTTAAAAGTCCAAACGACAACAAATCTATGAGTAAAATATCGTTTATCCAATGGGTTTGTACTAAATTCATGAGATACAATCTGACTATTGACTTCATTTACTTCATATTTCAGTGCTTTAAAACACATATGTTATTTGATTGTACCACTTTAGCTTTCGACACTAATTAAATCTAAACATAAATTAATTAATATCTGAATGAGTTGAAAATCTGATTTTTCTGCTCATTGGGATATTATAAATATATCAATTTATTTATAACAATATACCCAATGCTCAATTTATTCGAAATTATCAAGTCAAACCTTAGTAATAATAACTATAAGTTTAAACATGTTTAATATTTATACCAGTATGATATAATGCAAATCACATCCCAAAACTGATCTCTTTTAACAACCAATATTCGACCTTTCAATCACTAATTTTTGATGATTACTGAATGGACTATCGGACTTCTTAATCTTGATTTCATGCTTAAAAACTTAAAAAACGATGTCTATCTTCTTTCCATCAATATACAAAACTACTGAAATAGTTTCGAATATGAGACAACAAATACTAAAATAATTCATTACTGTTATTCGTGTTATGAAAACATTATTTGAATATCCACGTATTTGTAAAATAAAACATGTATACACACATAACTTAGTCACATTAATCTTTTTTACTATATCTCGAATTGATGTTAGTCTGGATTAAATAAAAATGATGATAAACAGAAATTTACGAAAAATTTAATTTCACGAGGAAAAATCGTTTTTCACGAGTGAACAGAAACACGTTTACTATGAAATATCAAACCCAATCATTAATGGAATCCAGATTAAATAAAATTTGATATTAAAATGAATACTTTTTTCATATCAGAAGGGTGTTGTGAAAATTATAGTAATTTTAATGGTTGAGATCATGAGTAAATTTCGTGAATAGGTTGAAATTAGACATTAACACCATTGGATGCCGGCTCAGTGGTCTAGTGGTTAAGCGCTACCGCGCGAGACTGATAGGTCCTGGGTTCGAATCTTGCGAGTCGAGGTCGTGGATACGCACTGCTAATGAGTTAAAATATATCTGCTATCCATTTTGTATGATAAGAATTTCAAAACGTTAAGTATTAGTTAAGATGAAAATTACAATAGTTGTATAATCAGTACTTAATTTCATAAAATATATTCTCTTCATTATTTAACATTTATATATTCATGGTTTTATAATACGAAAAATTGTAAAATAAATGAATACAAGTGTTCGATTGCTAATAAACATTTAAGTCATAAAATGGATGCAAATTAAACCCGAAGTTAATGAAACATCTAAGATATCATTTTAAAGTTTAGCATTCTATCAAAAATAAAATCAGTTTTAAATAGATAGACTTTACTGGTAAATGAGAAAAATTAGTATCTGTTACCAAAACAGTTAGTTCCCTTTATGAATTTAAATAAAGCAAGAATAAATATTGATGCAGAATAGTATGAATTCATAATATTTCGAGGTTTCTCGTCAGCTGCTTACAACCAAATATGTGATAAAATTTTTTACATTGAGATAGTGTAAAACAACTGATATAAATGAATGTAAATAACTGGAATGGCAAACATTTACAATAATAAATATTACTAGAATGGGTTTTGTGGAGAATTGGTAATTTCAATAGTCGAAATCATGAATCAATTGAAGCTAGACCACCATGGAAAACCTGGAAACACTGGACGGCCGTTTCGTCCTAGTATGGGACTCCTCAGCAGTGCGCATCCACGATCCCGCCCCCCGCGGGATTCAAACCCAGGACCTGTCAGTCTCGCGCCAGGCGCTTAACCAACTAGACCACTTAGCCGACATCCAACGGTGTTAATGTCTTACTTCAACCAATCCACGAAGTTGCGCCACCGTCACCATTGTCTTCAGTGAGCTGATATCTCACAAAAGACCTGGTTGAACTATATACATATATACATATATATAAACATATATATATATATATATATATATATATATATATATATATATATATATATGCTAGAACAGGTCAGAGGTTAATTGGTGTTAGAATTAAGGAAACAATTAAAGATGGGTAATGTAATAGTTAAATGGAGTTTATACATTGTGTGATAATTATTTTAGAGGTAATAGAACAGTGATAAGATAGGTTACGTAATAATGGAATAGAATTTGAAAGGTTAACATAATTTAAGAGGATTAGTGGGCGGAAATGTGTGAATGAAAAGTTGGTTTAAGAATTAGGTAATAGGGTGGGGAATATAACCCAAAATAAATATTTTGAAAATAAAATAAGTGAATAAAATAACACACACACACAAAAAAAAGGTTACCAGGGTAATGATAAGTTTATTAACGTCTCTTTTTGAATGCATAAATCCGGTATAAGTTTTTTTACTGCAATCGCTTCCCCGAAACGGAGAGTAGTAGTACTTCGTTGTCTATTAATAATTTTGAAAGCGTGTGAAATATCAATGGTATGCCCGGTGTCCAGTAAATGCCGAGCTATTGCACTGTTAAGAACCTTAGTCCCTCGCAGCCTCAAGTTCTTTGGAACATGCTCAGAAATGCGAACATGCACTCTTCTCTCAGTTCTTCGAATGTATGTGCTTTGGCACGTACATGTGAATTGGTAAATGCAGTTGGAGCTGCTAAGAAAAGAGGACTTGTCGATTTTAGTTTCTTTAAGTGAGCAGTTCGTTTTCCATACTATCATTAGTTTTGCTGCTGAGTAGGCAACTTTCAACGCGGAATTTAGTCTGTGATTAATTAAGCCAGCAATTTCATCTCCTTTGAAACGTAGATACAAGAAGCAAGATTTCTTTTAAACTCTATCATACTTTGCCTGAGGATTGGTTTTTGCATATCTGTGGATAAATTTCAACGGGTATGAAGTTTCACGTAGAGCATTAGTGATGAGAGTGATCTCATCATCCAGGCATTCCTTTGAACAAATTTTTCACCATAATAATCGTTTGATTTAGACATGATTGATCTTTATCATCCTCATGAAGAAATAACAACAATCCAAAAAGTGATAAAAATGAAATAAAAAGATTCGAGTGAAAATTTTTAAAGTTCAAGACAAGATAGAAATAGTATACCTCTTCACTACTGTGGTTGACATCATCCCTACGGTTACCAACATTCAATTTTCAATAGCCTGAAACTCTAAGCATAAATGTTTTCACTAACCTTAATGGCACATATTAATACTTAATGACTAATAATAATGATGATACATCATGGTTTGATCTACATCAATTTTTTTTAAATTAGCCGATATCGCTGGAGAATAGTAGACCGTCCCTTGATAAACAATGAATTTAACTCAGATATTTTATTAAACAAGTTGAAATGCTCAAAAAAAAAAAAAAATGAATACCAACAACACTTAATTTCATCAAAATAACTTTTTAAAATTAATGACAGTATGTCTTTTATCGTCTTAAGAATGATAATATGGATAAATAACCGTACGTTTTAAAAATATAATGTAGAAAATAACACGTATATATATATATATATATATATATATATATATATATATATATATATATATATAATTTTATTGCACAAATGTGTTTAGTACTTATTTATCAAAATGAAATTTGACATTAATTTCCCACCACTTTACGACCAACTAACACCTAACTAATTACATTCAGTAATTGTAACGGTTTCTATCGGGAAACAATCAGTCACTTTGTGGTTATATTATGGCATAAGTATTGTGTTAGATGATATTGTACCTATGCTTTATAAATGATCACCGATATAAATGATACAACGATTGTACCATCAACTTAGTTTATTCTTGTATTTTTATACAGAGATTCATCGAGAATTTCATAACATGATATTATATGATTATTCTACACTGTCTACATATTTCAATAAGAGTAATAATAATAATATAAGAAGTAAGAATATTCCAAATTACGCACTTTTTAGTTAAAGATAGCGTGTTCTCATTCTGTCATATAAATTCACTATTGAAAAGCATTTCTACTCATTTTTACTAAAAACCATATTTTTATACACTGTGTATATTTAATATAAAGGCTATTCATTAACTGTATAAACTTGAAATTTTTTTCACAAAACATAAATTGATTATTTATGAAAGCAACGTTTTAATTAATCGAATAAAGAATTTATATGAATGAAGCTGTTGAAAGTCTATTGATAATTAGGTGAAGAATAATGTTTTACATAACATTGGTTTTATTATTTATTTTATCAATTAAGGTCAGTTTCATGAGGAGCTGACACCAATAGACTAACCAGTATAACTCAAAAATATGTATACAGCTCTTGTTTATTGGCTTGCGATTCCTCAACAGTGCACACTCACAAAATCGCACTGGATCAAACACAGGATTTAATTCTTCTTCACATATTTAGGAATAATTCCAGCCCTAAATAGTTTAATAATAGAAATACAAGAGTTGAATACGCAACGGTAACTTGAAAACTTCTTTTGCATGATAAAACCATTGGTTATGTATATTAAAGTGCATAGATTACAGATTTTTTCTAAATTCACATCAAACTGAAAATAATATAAGACTGTTAATACCAGTTTGTCTATCACATACTATTATTATGGTTGTTATATTAAACAAACTTCATAAACCCAACACGAATACTAACTTGTTTGTACTTACTCAAATAATAACTGTTCAGGTCAGCATAATCACGAATTATCAAAATAAGATTCATGTAATTGTGTCATGACAATAAAGTAGTCGAATACTGTTTTTACTTATTTTCACAGTTATTTTATGTTTCGAAAAGCAAAACTTCCCAATCAATCAAATTTTAACTTAAACATTTGAAAATAAAATTTCTTATCGTTGAATAATAGTATAGCTACAGCATTAAGCTAAGCATGTTGAACCCGTCACGGGATTTTTTATAGAAAGTATTTTGTCGATTATCACAAAGTTGAATGTTTTTGTTACAAAAATAAACTAGTCAAACAATCTCTATTTTCAAAGATGTTATTTATCTTTGATTTATAGAGATGGTTTGAATTTATGTTTGTTTTGCTCACTCAGTCATACTATGATGATAAAAAAACAATGATAAGTAGAAAAACGTAATGAATAAATATGTGTTAAGGGAAGGGAAACAGAAATAAGTAATTTATTTATCTCACACAACTTTCTATGATTAGTTTCTATATTATTATTATTAGTAGTAGTAGTAGTAGTATTACTATTGATATTAACAATAATACTACAACAATTATTATTAGTACTGTCAGTCCTAATACCGACACTAACATTATTCATCTAGAAAACAGTGACAGAATTAATTCGAAAGTCAGAACGAATTAATAAGAAAGAATAATAGTTTAGAGTATAGGGAGATATAAGTTACAATAGATTATACTAACGATCAATTCCTAATTTACTGAAAATTCAACCGATGCACTGTGTCAAACCAAAAACAATCTAGTAGAAAAACTAGGTGAGAAGAAAACAACAGAGTTTTCTAACATTAACAGCTAAATGTATATAGTGTTATTTTACTACTGACTCTAATAGGCTGAACTAAAATCAAAGAAGCACAAAATATCTAGCTTGATGTAAAATAGCAAAGAATGGGAGATGGAAGTAAAGAGGAGTATAGAAATAATGATAACCTATCAGTGAAGAGTAACACGGAAGAAGAATTGATAGGAGAATGCACATTTGGATATAAATAAGAGTGAAATTAATGGCTAGATATGAAAATAACAATATGTTTGACCCGAGAAAACAATAATTAAGATAATTTTATCGTAAAAGTAAAATGAGTTGAAATTGGAATACATTAGAAACGAGAATGTTGATAGCTATTCACTCCATCCCATTAGATTTATCAAACACAATTGGATATAATTTCTTACATAAACCATAAGTCATTAGGATTCATGCTAATACCTCTTGTTTTTCTGAACGTAAAAGGTCTGTAGCATCACTATTTATTTATTAGTTACAAAGGATGTCGTGAGAAAATTTACTGATCGCCATATTTGTCTCATTTCATCAATGGTTGTGCAATTACACTGCACTTATTTACATGGTTTCATCCATTTTATGATATGAATTTTATTGAATTACTTTTTAATAACGTTTTTCACGTCATAATTCACTTCAAATGTTGAAATATTTGTTTTATATTAGATCGAATTATTTTAGTAATTCTGACATCCAGTACTGCTGTAGTGGACGCTACTCGCAAAGAAATTTGTATGTAGTGTGTAGCGGAACGTGGCGCTGAAGTTGTAAGGGAGTGAAGAGTTTCAGTGCATCGAAAGCACGGTGATGGCAGAACACTAGGAGACTAGATGAGAAAACACTTCCATGACAGAGCACACCAAAATATGCAAATAGATGACTGAAGGCTATGTATGTGCATGATGTAAATACTTTGTAACCTATAGCGATAAATATGCCTATTGTCTTATTTACACTATTATTGTTGTGTGTGATACTTATATCGACATAAGTAGTATATAACGTTACTGCGGACAGAATGTCTGACAGCAGAGAGACAAGAGGATCGAATAGTAAAGAATGGGAGCAGAATGCAATTTGTATGAAAATGCAAGACCAATGAAGTCTGAGTCATTCTGAGACAATTGATGGACATTTTGCAAATTATTATTATTATTATTATTATTAACAAGTCCTGTAATTTTGTGTCGCATGCATTCGATTGTCCTCACCTGTGTTCTTGTTCACTACATTACTGCTATAAATGTGTCACTATACTTCGTTTCCCTTATTAGGAATAGATGATTAATATGTTATTGAACCATATTGACAGTAATGAGAAGTTATTTGTCAACTTAACTAAAATCATACCCAGTCGGTTAGATGAAAAGGTAAGACAGAGCATATGTACATATCTGTCGAAGTTATGACATATTATCTGCATGACGAAAAGGATTTACAGTGAGGAAAAGCACAGCAGTCAAAATAATATTATTAAAGGAACAATAAAACAAATATGAAGAACAAAATCCAAACAGATCGCATAAAATTGGAGGTTGAAAAGACTGAAAAAATATTATGCTGAACATTCGGAAGAGAGAAAACGAACAATTCTGTATGAACGAAACGGATTTTGAGCTATATGTCAGGTCTGCAACCATAGTTTACGTTTATCTTATGGACATTAGATTTATGTGTCTACTAACCATACATGACCTATTCCAGCAAAAGTTACGTACGTCCATTTGATCCCACCCATTATCTGTTCTCTTTGATATTGGATGATCGAAGATTGATTGCTATTAACTGTCTAAAATCGAATACTATGCACCATGGTGTGAGGTTATTTAGTCTATAGACTAATTTGCAAACTTGATTGAAGGGATTTGACAACAGATTAGTTTAATCTGTTTTTTTAAAGTGGCTGATCATTCATAATAGATTACCAAATATTTTCGTCTGACTAAACTCGGAAAAAACTGTTAATTTGAACGTACCAATTTTAATTTGGAACCAGCCAGTTGCAAAGCTTTAACTGCTTCATTATGTGTAGCACCAATAAGACTAATACCATTGACTGATAATATTCTGTCACCAAATCTGAAAAAGTAGAACACGGTATAATTCACTTCGTTTCCCAACCATATTTAAAGAATTTATATAAAAATTTCTAACCCGCATAGATAAGAGTTTACCAAAATTCTGGTAAGAAGTTATTATAGATTGGTTTAATCCATTTTAAAAGTAAGGTGACCACCAAGGGCATTTGATGATTATCAAGCTATATAATGATTCGATTGACATGGGAAATCTGGACCAACCTAGTGGTCTAAATATTTCATGTTCGCAACAAGACCTAAAACCATTTGATCCAACTCCCAGGTACGAACTACATTGGGTTACACGTTGAGACAGAAGAGAACTCAAGAGTTTCTTGCTTTCATACAGTTCCCATCAGAGTAAACAACATATGTAAAAACTTCTTAGCTTTCTAAAAAGTCTCATTAAAAAATCCAATATTATGCTCTCAAAAATGTTACACCTCTCATAACACAATTAGTCCATTCATAGAGATTTGTTTAATTTAACAAGACAGTTAGTTGTAAACATAAAACTAGAGAGAGAAAAATGAAACACCTTAAAATTGAGGATTGTTTGAATAATTTGCATAAACAAACTAATATATAGTTTCTAAATATCATTTCTCCCTTTTTATCCTGATAAAATATAATTACATTATTGGAACATTGAAGAGGTAATAGAGATTGTAGCAACAACAAGAGATGAAAAACAAAGACTTGGAGAGAAAATTGATCAGATTAAAATTTCCAGTAAAACAAATCAATGGATGAATGAACGGATAAATAATAAGACTTTGATATCACATGTCTTGTTTTAGTTTTATTCTGTTGTTGGTTCTTACCCTCCTCGCTCATCTTTTTGTTGATATGTATATGGACATTGGCAATATTGAGTATGAAAATAACATATACATATGCTTTCGAGTCGTATGTGATAAAGTGAGATTAATAGTGTATTATTCCCGAATTTCGATAACTGGTTATCACTAATGGTGAGCGAACAAATATCATATTGTTTTTGAACTCAAAACAATTGAAAAAATGCTGGTAATATTTCTGCACTTAAATATTATTCATTGTAAACTGTCAACACAGTCGAATGAATTGCCTCAAATGAAGCACAAATTAAAAGCTTGAGCATTCTAGAGTCATTAACGATTCAACAGTTTAAGCTTGAACTCTCCGTACAATCTCTCACACTTCCACGGAACTAGTACCTATCTTGGTTTGTTTTCTTTAATATTTAACCCTGTGTCCTTACCTTCTTCCGATCTTTAAAAAATATTCCGCTGATATTATCACATTTACGTTTTTTATGTATTCTTCACATCTGCCCAGTAGACAATCATCCCTTACATTTCTAATCCGTAAGTTATTTCCATCTCATTACTTTTCCTACAACCTGTAGACCATTACGCAGCCTTTACCACAATAATTTCAAAAAATAGATATGAAAGGTAGTTAACAAAGGAATTCCCAACCGTTGCTGTTACTTTACATGATGATGGTGCTTGTCTATCGCAAAAAACCAATCAGGCTATACTGGCTGGAACAATCGTTCCTCAAGGTCCTGCCATGCCAGACAGGTCGGTTGAAGAGCGATAGGACTAAAGGCAGAAAATCCAAGGTTCGAGGGAGGAGTCGTACTGCTGATTGTAGAGAGGTGTGATGGCAGTGAGGCGTTTCCCTCAGACAACCAGAATAGCAGAGATGCTGCCTTCTCACAAAGGAAGGGTGGGGTTGTAGTCGAGCACGCATTTGCTTGAGCCTCACTGGACGCGGAAAAGACACATTAAGACCTATGAGAGTTGAACTCAGTGATGAGAAAGTCAAAATTAGATTCCAAAAACTAACGAGGTCAGACATAGGTAGATTTGAAAACGAGGCTGACTCAGATGTTGCTTAAAAAGATATATGAAAAGATGTGGAAACAGCAGTGACATCTATTAGTGATTTGAACCAAAGGGTTACGAAGAACCAATAGATTACTACTAAGTATATCGCACTGATAAATTCTCGTAAACTCACCCTATCTGACTACGAACACGAAGAAGAGCGAAAACAAGTTGGAGATTAAACAAAAGTTTACGGAACGACCGTGAGCAGTGGAGGGTAACCAAAGCAAAAGAAATGGAAAAGTCAGCGGCAGAAGGTAGCACCACACAGCTTTTTAAACTAATAAAAGAAACCGGAATTAAGAAATCAAGTGTAATTGAAGCACGAAACTTATCCGCTCTCAGCCCAGAAGTTTAGGATGATGGGCTGAACACTTTTAGGAGCAGTTCAGATGTCCAAAATCACCCACCATTTCCAAACAGCCTATATAAAACAGTGAAATAGGCCCTCCAAATTTAATTGAAGTTCAAAAAGCTATGGTCTAATCCATGTTGGTAGATGTAGACTATTTGGTTGGAAAGTCTGGGTGACATGGTTCAGAATAGGTCACAATGGTGTAGGTGTATATACTCTCTGCCTTCCCTTGAACCGTGAGAATAAAATTACTTTACACCTTTCTTTCTACGAACTAATTCTTTCTTCTTGTATTATATCCTTATATGCAACCTTTCTTTTATATATTACTACCGTTGAAGTAACTACTTCTATGAATTTAGTGTTCATCGCGTTGTGCTAATGAGGCATGGCAACTTGGACCGATGCATATATATGCCTGGTCCCACGTTGTAGTTGACTGACTGAGCAAAAGAATTACTATTAACTAATTTCATTGTTCAACCCATTTGTAAATCAATCAAAACGATTGTTTAGATAATATACACTAAAATAAGTTTTTATAGCAAAAGTAATGGCAGATGATTTCTTTAATATTTATTACCTTCTTTCTGTTACTATTATATTTGGTTACACTATAATAAACAAGAACGAAAATAGACTAACAAATACTTCACTTAGCTTAAATGATACAAGAGGTAAATATGAAATGAAGAAGAATATTTATTAATACTTTTAGTTATAAAGAAAGCATCGATAACACCAAAAGTTCATTAAATACAAATCAAGTGACATGTTATTTTCTAATAAACATATAGGCAAATATATATACACTAAAGTAAACAACGCATCATGAGATCACCAAAACACTAGTCTTTCAAAACGCAAAAATAAATATTTTAACAAAAGAAAAACTAGGTTTGCGCAGTTTGTTTAACAGTTTTATTGTTTTAACAGAAATGATTATTGATTAAAATGTATATTTTATTATAAATAATAATAATAACCATTTATATTAATCTATTGTTGCTCAATTAGAAGTCACGGTTTGTAGCAGTAAGAATGTACACTGACCACAGATATGAAATAAAGAACTTTTGAAGTGAATAAAACTAAAGTTAAGAAGATATAAACCATTGAATTTTGATTCAGTACATGAATAATCTGTTGCATTTTGAAAAAAATCTAAAGTGTAGAGTCAATTTTCTATGAGAAATGGGATAGATTGTAAAAAGCAGTCTAAAAGTAGAACAAAAAATTGACCAACATCAAAGTGTTTATTCTGGGTTCAGTCAGTCAACTACAACGTGGGACCAGGCATATATATGCATCGGTCCAAGTTGCCATGCCTCATTAGCACAACGCGATGAACACTAAATTCATAGAAGTAGTTACTTCAACGGTAGTAATATATAAAAGAAAGGTTGCATATAAGGATATAATACAAGAAGAAAGAATTAGTTCGTAGAAAGAAAGGTGTAAAGTAATTTTATTCTCACGGTTCAAGGGAAGACAGAGAGTATATACACCTACACCATTGTGACCTATTCTGAACCATGTCACCCAGACTTTCCAACCATTGGTTACAATAGTCGCGCGGACCCCAACCAAGTAGTCTGCAACCACCAATAGATCAGAAGTTATTGACTTTATTGACTTATGCCACGTTTTGGTTGTTCTGGGTTAAATCGAGCTAGGGCTAGCGTTGTGTAGTAATTAACGGAATATATATACTTAACGAGTGATTAGTCTTCTGAATGAAATCTCTTTCAAGACTTGTCTACAGTATCATCGTCACAAATAACCATGTTTTACAATTCTTCACATTTATAATCAATAATCTTGAATATCTTCATGATAGAAAAATCCGAAATACTTGTCATGTAATAATGATAGTAATAATAATGAAATAAGGACATACATCTGACCAATTAGAAAAAAGAACTCTGAATAAGCAAAGATGGATGGTGGCTGGATGTACCTGCATCCCAGAGTTGATGTTCACTCCAGGACTCGATCCAGTACAACCAAACAATATCCAGTAAATTTAAAATTCTGAATAGTCTGGAAGTGAAAGAGTATTCGTAAAGTTGTCCTACTAATATAAAGTCTACAATGTTATTAAGTAATAGAAATGTGAAATAAAAGTTCTTATACATTTTATTTAAAAGGGGAAAATTTGACGAATCATATTGAAATATTTATTGTATGACACTAATTTATGGAGAGAAAAAATTCAATTAAAATATTGCATTAAAAAGGAACAAATATAGAAGTACATGTATAAAAAGAGAGAGGGAAAAAAGAAATAAAGGTCTTAATTGTTTTATTTTAAACAGCTCTCATACAAACAATAACACTTACGACAAAGGATTATTATGGAAAAAAAAGTCTAGGATAAAATTAATGTATGACATACTGTTATTATAACAATAGTAAAAGATAAATGTATACTTGTTTGAATAAACCGACATCGAAAAATTAATTTGAAACCTACGGTGTATAACTATTTCAAAATGGAGCTCAATATTTGTTTGATAATGGTATAAAATAACTTCTTCCTAAATGTAATGCTTACTCGAATAATTACAACAAAAAACATTAATGCCATACACTGAAAATCATTAAAAGATGAAAACAATCCCTTGATAATAACAATAAGAATATTATTCAAATAATCAATCAAAAAATCAATAACCATATTTATTTTTATGAACCTTATTAGTACTAACAATCTCTTTCATATATTTCGATTGAGGCAGCTAACCTTTAGGTAAACACGATGGATAA